AGCATTGTGCTTGAATATTTGAGGTCACTTGGCTCTTGATACCATTGTGCAGAAATTTCAATAGCAACAAATTCTATGGAACTATCCCGTGGGGCCTGCTTGAGCTAACCGGTTTGTTCTTGCTGTAAGTAGCTCCAATACACGTGTTTCAGAAATTATTATTTTCTTCACCTTGTCCTTCTCTCAATGAAGAAGGTCTGAGCATGCATACAAAACTAGATAGGACTATCCCTGATATGTCAAATGGTAATTTGCAAGTACTTTGCTCCACTGCCAAGATGCATTCATGTGCGATGAGCCGGTTTTTGAGTGCCAAAACACATGAATGCATTCGAGTCGACTATAAAACTGTCTCGCAGAGGCCACGATGCATTCTTGTGTGTCGGTTGGCAGTATGCTTGGATTTCTAACTTCTGCATCCAGCCTTCCCTTTGATTTCCGAGCGCAGGGATGTATCTAACAACTCTCTTTCTGGGGAACTCCCACGTACTCTCAGCGTCGAAAATTCTCTTGACATGCTGTAAGAATTTGAAGCACTGCGTGCTGCCACCACTGTTTGTATTGTCACCATTGTGTGTGCCTGGTGCAGCACTGTCCCTTCATGGTTAACTTCTATGCCCCTGAAAATTTCGTCTCTTTTTGAGTTGTGCAGTAACCTGGGAGGAAATGACTTCACGGGCTCCTTACCAGACTTCTCACACTGGAACGTCACTTGTGCAGAGATGTAAATATGTCTTCTCACACTCTCTTCCTCCTTTTCCCACTGTAAACAACGCTTGCTCAATCTTGCCCTTAGCACCACCAGGTGCAGAATTGCACCTCTTATTTCATATTTTGGGCGAAAAAACCACGTACAATGTTTTCACCCAAACCTTTTGTTAACTTTGGTCTGGAAAAATATTTTATCCTGGTGAAAAGAAAATTTTCAAAATAGAAAGAAAGAAATATTAGATATAAATTGTCAAGAGACGATGGATGCAATCTTACCTGCATTCCCGCTGCCAGATCTGTGCAGAGCCTGGGTGAAAGCAGGTTTCTGTACCTGCCCCGTTGGCTTGCCAGGCTTGACCCGGTCCCTTAAGGCCAAATTGGTTCAGTTTTTTGGAAACTCCGACCCGGGAAGACCAGACCTGACCCGACCCGGTACCCGCCTAGCCCACTCGGGCCAGGTCGGGTCGGGTCAAATGCTCCTCTTTGGATGTAGTGCATTGCACCCATAGTAAGCTGTTGTGTTCACCCCGCTGACAGGCTATCTCGCTGCTGCCTCACCTGTGTTTGTGGCTCAGAAATCTCAGCGGCAACAACTTCACAGGATCGATTCCCGACTCCATCTCCACCCTCACGACCCTCAGTGGCATGTGAGGCTTCTCTCCTCTTCTTGTGCCACAACAGCCATAATGCCTGCCATGAGGACAATGGCAGAAGAATTGTAGCAGTGGCAGCCTATGCAACGAGGTGACTTTTGAGTCGACCCAAAAGTCACATATGCGAGGAGCTATTTCCATCTGCAGCCAATAGCAGAAGAAAGGTAGCAGTGGCCGTCTATCTATGCACACACACGCAGCAACACATGCTTAATTCGCACTTTCAACCAATGTACCCCGTTGCTATTTCCCTGCTCTGCAGTTTTCTCAACAACAACCAGCTAACTGGCACCATCCCTTCAGCCGTCTTCACCATGAGGAAATTGGCATACCTGTAAGCCTCATGTGTTTAGGGATCCCCTTTCTGAGTGCCCATCACACGTTTCTACCTCTGCCCAACGATACTTTCCTTTCTTGCACAAGTCTGCACAACTCTTGCATGCTCTGTTTCTCATCCGAATGTCTCCCTGCCGTTGCTGTTGCTCTTCAGCTACTTGGCCAACAACCATCGCACTGGCAGTCTGCCAGCTGCCATCAGCCCGCACTTGCATACGCTGCTACTCATCACACTCTCTTCCTGCCATCACCACTGCCCCCGCCAGCTACTTGGCCAACAACCATCTCACTGGCAGTCTGCCAGCTGCCATCAGCAAACTGAAGAATCTTGAACAGATGTAAGCGTGCCATGTGGTTTCCTCTACTTTTTTTAAGAACAGTGGCAGCTTAGGAAGCAACACAGGCACCACAAGCACAAGCTTGCAGTACATCGTGACCATAACAGACCCAGCAAGCTTCCACACTATGAAATGAACACAAGAGACCGAAACACGCAAACATCACCTGTGCCATCCCCACTCCACCCCCTGTTCTTTATGCAACCGTTCCCGTCTTTGTTCCTGCCAATGCTCTGCCTGTCTCCCCAGCTGGTTGGACAACAACAAGATTGAAGGCCCTCTGCCAACCGGCCTGTGCTCGCTGCCGTGGCTGTGGCGCCTGTGAGTGACAGTCAGATAGAATGTGCCATGAGGCTATGACGCTTATGAGGGACAGTCATACAGATGATCAAATTTTTATTAGGGTTTTTTTTAAGGACCTTTTAATTTCAGCTTCTCTCCTATTTTCATGCTTCTGGAGATTGTTAAAATGTGTGAAGTAGTTTCACTTTTGTGTATCTGCCTTTCTGTATGGGTGTGTGACTCACGGCGCGGCATGGTGTGTGATGTGCTGCTGGCAGCTTGATCAGCAACAATTACCTCTACGGACCTCTTCCAGACTGCCTCTTTGACAAGTGTATCACACAAATGTGAGCCTACCGTGCATACTCTATTCTCAGAACCATCCATGACAGCTTGCACCCTCAACATGGGCATTGCACAGACACCTCTATCTGGTGGGACGGCCGCCGACCAAATACTCAATATAATCTTCTGCCCTCCGCGAACTCCCTGTGCTTTCCGCAGTGATGTGAGCGGCAACAGCCTGTATGGGCGCATCAACCGCGACTTCAAGAACATGGTGACGACCATGGGTGCCCCAGCCCGCGAATTTGAGAGCAAAGCGGCGGATGACAATGCCCTCATCAACTTGGCTCACAACTTCTTCTTTGGAGATGGGGTGCTCTTTGCTGCCGGCTGCAAGGTCTGCCCCACTGAGATCAACGAGCCCAACAACATGGGCACCAGGGACACATTTGCATGGCAAAAGCTTGGTGGCAAGTGCAACTTTCTTGCTCCAAATATGCCGGCGAGGGTGAGTCTGTCGGGCAACTGCCTGACGCTCACCCCGAACAGCAAGTGCTCATCCAACGCCACCCAGCGCAGCACGGCAGCCTGCCAGGCGTTCTGCAGCATCACGGACAACGGCCCGTGTGACGGCCATGGGGCCTGTTTACCGGCTGACCCTGCCTCCCCCTCCAACTTCACGTGCCTCTGCGATGGGGGGTACACCACAGTCGACTCGAGCAACGGCTCGTCCACATGTGCCATCGTCCACTCCACCACCACCACCAACACTGGTAACCCTTGCTTTATTCTTACAGCTCCACATTTCATTCCTATTTTATGCACCAATAATCACGTTTCATGAGGCTTCTGCTACACAGACGTTTATCACGCCCCATGTCCCTTCCTTGGCAGTGTCGTCTCTGTCGACGGGTGCCATAGTGGGCATTGTTCTGGGCTGCTTTGCTGGCTTCACTCTGCTAGCTGCGGTGGTCGCATGGCTGCTGTGGCCCCGCGGACCAAGTGAGCCCCTCGTCCCTTCTTCTTTAAGTTACATTCAATCTCCCCCATTCCTTCACCTCTCCCATTCTTCTTTCCTAGCTTCCATCCCCGCCCGCCACCTCTCCCAAATCCGTGCACAATAAATCTGCCTCTCCACTGCTCTCATGCTCTCTCCACTCATCTACACCCCGTATTGTGCGTGCGCAGAGAAGTGGGAGGGGTTGGACGTGTGTGAGCAGTTCTCGCTGCAGCAGATGCTGAGTGCCACCAACAACTGGTCGGAGGGCAATGTGCTGGGCAAGGGAGGCTTTGGCATTGTTTACAAAGGCCGCTCGCCACAGGGCCAGCTGTGGGCCATCAAGCGATCCACCATCATGACCAACGACTTTGAAACGGAGGTGAGGCATGCCTCTAGTTCCCTCAGCACGAGAAAAGACATCACAAGACGACACGGCACTCTCTGCTTCCCAAATAGTTGATCTTGTTCCATGTGTGTCGAGCCATGGCCTCTCTCCACAAGAGAATACACGGCACTCTCTGCTTCCCAAATGCTGACTCTGCTAATGCATGTCTCACTTTTTCATGCCATTGTGTATCTGCCTGCGTGTTACAGGTGCGAGCCATGGCGTCTCTCCACCACACACACCTCGTGCGCCTGCTGGGCTTCTGCCTGGACCAGAACGTGGAGACGGGCAAGCAGGAGCAGATCCTCGTGTATGAGTTCATGGCCAACAGGGACCTCGAGTACCATATCCACAGGAGCAAGCGTGAGTCGCACTAGCACAATCGTTGAACGGCATTTGTTGTTTGTTTTTTTTGTTTTTTTTCTGCAAAGGACATGACACCACCACTCATGAAATCATGTGTTCTGCTTGGCATACATGTTGCATGGCCCAGGTCCACTCTCGCTGCGCCAGAGGTTGCGCCTGGCACAAGGAACAGCAGAGGGCCTGGCGTACCTGCATGGGTTTGACACACCCATCGTTCACCGCGACATCAAGCCGGCCAACATCCTTGTGACTGCTGACATGCAAGCCAAGGTGGCTGACTTTGGGCTGCTCAAGCGCCTCACTCACGGCGATGCTGATGCCACTCGGGTGGCCGGCACTCCGGGCTATGTGGATCCGGATTACAACCGCACCAACGTCATCACAACCAAGAGTGATGTGTTCAGGTCCGCATGCCTGTTCCTTTGCACAATGCGATTGTTCCTCTTTTTTTTTTTTTTTTTGGTAAATCTTCTAGGTTATGCCCGTTATTGCTTTCTTTACCGCTGTACATGCTTGTTCCTTTCCATGACAGATGAACTTGTGCACTTTTTGTTTGTCCCCTTGGCTATGCTGAGTTCGTGTACCTTGTATTGCTATCTCTACATCTGTCCATTTCTTTGCACACAATGGATGATTACTTGCAGCTTTGGAATTGTGCTTCTTCAGCTGCTTAGTGGCAAGTCACCCCATGTCGACCCAAAAACACATATAAGAAAATGGGTATGCACATCAAGTATGAAACTTTTTTTTGTTATGGATAAGAGTTGGAAACTTGCATATAAGAGAAAGGGTATGCTGATAAGATGTAGAATTCGTCTGACTTCGTTACTTTATGGCTGAACGTTTATCCTGGACTTCCTTTCATGCTGATTTTCTCTGCTTCCTTGTTGTCATGCTGGTTTTCAGTGTCTTTCCTTGTTGCCATGTTGGCTTCCACTGCCTTCCCTTGTTGTCAGGCTTGCTTTCAATGCCTCTCTTTGTTGTGATGCTGCCTTCCACCTCCCTTGCTGCTTCGCTTGCTGCTTTGCGTTGCCTCACCGTTCATAATCCATTTGTGTTACGTGTACGTTGCCCTCCAGGCTATGAAGCTGGTGGAGGCGTATGAGGTGGATGAGCTGAGGGACAGCAAGATGCCGGCGGCAAGCGAGGAGGCCATAGTGGACTTTGCAGACCTGGCTCTGGACTGCATCAAGTCTCCCGGCACACGGAGACCCACCATGAAGGATGTGGCGTACCGCCTCAGTGCCCTCATTGCCAAGCACTGCCCCGACAGGGAGGACGAGTGGGAAAGCGCCGTGAGAGAAGAGAGTGAAGGCAACGAGGGTATGTCTTCAAGGGATGTTTCTTCTACATCGTTTGAAGACAGTGGGAGGGAGTCTGGGAGGTCTCAAGGCTCGCAGTCTGGTGCGAGCTCATTCATGCGCATTGGCTCGATAGGTGATGGCCTCAAGAGTTGGCTGCAGCTGAAGCCAACCAAAGGGCGTTGAATCTGCCCATAGTGACGGTACACGTGCGTATTTAACATTACAAGATTAGAAACTATAATTCCTCAAATCTACCACCCTAAGGTCTTATATTTATATAAACTCTAAGAAAAATGGGCGTGTCTTTTCAATGAACAGAATATAAAAGACACTGTTTCATAGGACGATTTCGTGTATAGTTGTATCAAATTCTTTGCCTGGCGTTTTTCACAACCTTATCGGACATACCATCATTGCCCGGACATACATAGTTTAAGCAGAATCCCTTGGCTAACAAAAATTTGGTATGACAAGGCTGCTTTTGAATCTATCTTCCAACCTTAACGAAATATTCCATAACGAATTCCACTTCTGTTCAACCAGAATAAGGGTGTGGAACCGGTTGCGAAATTGTGGTTTCAGCGAAAGCGGTTACGTAACACAAAATCAGTGTTGGAGCAAGCCACTCACGGATTTGCGGCTGGCACATTTTTTGTGTCCGAGTGGGGGGGATGCGCACTGTCAGAACATATATGCAGCTCATACTGTTGTGTAGGCTGTAGTGGGGTATCCCATAGGGGGTACAACCCAGTTAGGGTTTCCTACTTGTACTGATTTCATTTCATAGTCAATCATTCCTGTTCATTCATTTCACATGGTATAGAGCGGGTCCCTTCGAAGGACCGTTTTTTCTTGGGCCCACCCACGATTTTTTTTTCTGCCCGGAGCGCGCCCTATTCTCCCCGAGGCGCGCTCCCCCTAGTGCGCGTCGCGCTGCCCTTGTGGCGCCCCGAGAGTCGCGCGCTGCGACTCATTTTTTTTTCGCGCACGCGGCCCGGGCCCCACGTCGCGCAGGCCGTACGGCCGCGCCGCGCCGCCCTCTCGGCTCTGCCGCGCCGCGCCGCCCTCACGTCGGCCGCGCGGCCTCTTCGTCGCTGCAGCCGGCCCCGCCGCTGCACCTCTGTCGGCCCCACCGCTGCACCCTACCGGCCTCGCCGCTGTACCTGCCGGCCCGCCGCCTCACCTGACGGCCCGCCGCCCCACCTGACGGCCCCGCCGCCTCACCTGACGGCCCGCCGCCTCGCCTGCTGGCCCGCCACCTCACCTGACGGCCCCGCCGCCTCACTTGACGGCCCGCCGCCTCACCTGCTGGCCCGCCACCTTACCTGACGGCCCCCGCCGCCTCACCTGACGGCCCGCCGCCTCACCTGCTGGCCCGCCGCCTCACCTGACGGCCCCCGCCGCCTCACCTGCTGGCCCGCCACCTCACCTGACGGCCCCGCCGCCTCACCTGACGGCCCGCCGCCTCACCTGCTGGCCCGCCACCTGACCTGACGGCCCCGCCGCCTCACCTCACGGCCCGCCACCTCACCTGCTGGCCCGCCGCCCCACCTGACGGCCCCGCCACTGCACCCTGACGGCCCGCCACTGCACTCTAACGGCCCGCCACTGCAGCCGAGCCGCCCTGCCGCCGAGCCACCCGGGAGCCGAGCCGCCCTGCCGCCGAGTCGCCCGGGAGCCGAGCCGCTGTGCCCCCGAGCCGCCCTGCCGCCGAGCCGCCCGGGAGCCGAGCCGCTGTGCCCCCGAGCCGCCCTGCCGCCGAGCCGCCCGGGAGCCGAGCCGCTGTGCACCCGTGCCGCCCGGTCGCCGAGCTGCCTTTCTACTCAGCTGCACGACCTGCCCTGCCTGGTGAGCACAGTCCCACTGTCACTGCGCGCTCTTTCCCTACTGCTTGCACTGCTTCGCTGTCGTCGCCATGGCTACCCCTAGTGTCCTAGCTTTTGACGCTGAGGGCCGCGCCATTGACTTTGAGGTCTGGTTAGACGACCTGCAGCTGTTCTTACAGTGCGACAGAGCTGACGGCCTTTCTCTCTTTGACCTCACCTCTGGCGCCTCTCCTGCTCCTGCTGCTGATGCTGATCCCACTGTCCGCTCTCAGTGGGCCACCCGCGATGCTGCTGCACGTCTTGCTGTGCGTTGCCACCTCCCTACCTCTGAGCGTGCGCACTTTAGTCAGTACAAGAGTGCTCAGACCTTGTACGACGCTGTAGTTGCGCGCTACTCCTCACCTGCCACTGCTGCACTGAGCCGTCTCATGCTTCCCTACCTCTTTCCTGACCTCTCTGCCTTTCCCACTGTCGCTGACCTCATTACGCACCTCCGCACTAGTGACACTCGCTACCGCGCCGCCCTTCCTGCTGAGTTCTGCGCTAAGAACCCCCCCCCCATGTACATCGCTCTCTACTACGTAGTCGCGCGCCTCCCTGACTCCCTTCGCGTAGTCAGAGACCACTTCCTTGCAGTCTGTCCCACCACCCTCACCGTCGACCTCCTCGAGAAGGCCCTCCTCGCAGCGGAGAAGAGCATAGTCGCTGTAGGTGCTTCTCGTGGTGACCCTCACACCCCCATCTTTGAGGGGTGCTCTCCTTCCCCCTTGCTGCCCTCTGTTGCCTCTGCTGCTGCTGCCGACCTGCTTGGTCTTGAGTCGGTCGGCGCGGCGTCTGCCCCTAGTGGGAGACGTCGCTCTGGCAAGGGCAAGGGGGGCAAGGGCACGGGTGGAGCTGGAGGGGGCGGTGGAGGTGGAGGTGGAGGCGGCGGGGGGAGTGGGGGTGGCAGCGGGAGCAGTGCTGGTGGTGGTGGTGGTGGCAGCAGCGGCGGAGACGGTGGTGGTGGTGGCAGCGGCGGTGGGGGTGGCAGCGGCGGAGGTGGAGGCGGCGGAGGTGGAGGCGGTGGAGGCGGTGGAGGCGGCGGCGGAGGAGCAGGAGGTGGTGCAGGGAGCGGAGCTGGTCGGGGTGGTACCCAGCAGCGCGGCGGCGGTGGTGGTGGCCAGCGCTCGCAGCGGCAGCAGCAGCAGCGCACGCGGGACATCCCTCCGCCCCAGCAGCTTCGTGAGTGGTACGCTGCGCGTCAGAGGGGTGGGGGTACTGGTCCCTGCACCTACGTTCTTCGTTCCGGCGACCGCGCGGGTGAGCAGTGTGGGGGTGCCCACGCCACTCAGCGCTGCTTTGGCCGCCTGACGGACGCTTGGCGTCGGCAGTTCCCCGGGGCCAGTGAGATCCCTCGTTGGGATGAGCTCCTTAGGGCTGGTGTAGCGATCTTTGATCTTGATTTTGATGCTATCCTTGAGGCTATGTATGTTGTGGATTCTAGTGAGGAGAATGTGGGTTACCGGTGTTTCCAGCCCGACCCGGGCATTGGTACTGCTGCGCTAGGTACTTGTGAGGCTGCTGCTCTAGGTGCCAGTGCGTCTGCGCTCTCAGGTACTGGTGAGACTGCGCTTTCAGGTACTGAGTCGCCCCCGTCCTCCCTCACTTTCACACTTGACTCCGGAGCTTCTCGCTCCTTCTTCCGAGACCGCACTACCCTTACGCCTCTTGGCCGGCCGGTTGCGGTCTCCCTTGCTGACCCCTCTGGGGGTCCTGTCCTGTCTCACTTCTCCACTGTCCTCCCGTGTCCGGCTGCCCCTTCGGGTACCCTGTCTGGTCTGTACCTTCCCTCGTTCTCTACGAACTTGGTGAGTGGAGCAGCCCTACAGGATGCGGGGGTCCACCAGTTCACTCCTGCGCTGCAGCGGGTTACCCACTGCACGGACTCACGCACAGGCCGACACCTGGCCACCTTCTCGCGTCGGCCGGGGTCGAGTCTCTACACCCTGACCACTTCGTCTCCTCCTGTCCCTGAGTCTGGTCAGGTAGCTGCGTCAGGCCAGGTGCTTGCTGCTGCGTCCCGGTCAGGTCCTGAGTCTGCCCCCTGTTCTTGTCGCCTCCTGTCTCACGAGACTCTCCTGTGGCACCACCGTCTTGGCCACCCCTCCTTGCCCCGTCTTCGGAGCATGGCCTCCCGTGTCCTTGTCTCTGGTCTTCCCCGGTCTCTCCCTCCTCTCCCCTCCGGGCCAGGACCTTCCTGTGTCCCCTGTGTTGAGGGTCGCCTCCGGGCTACTCCTCACTCCTCCCACTTCCCCCCGACAGAGGCTCCCCTGCAGACGCTTCACATGGATGTGTGGGGCCCGGCCCCCGTCCGTGGGCAGGGTTACGAGCGCTACTTCCTGTTGGTGGTTGACGACTACTCGCGTTACACCACAGTCCTCCCCTTGCGCAGCAAGGGTGAGGTCACTGGGGTGCTGATCGACTGGATCCGCGAGGCTCGTCTCCAGCTCAGGAAGAGCTTCGGCTCGGACTTTCCTGTTCTACGTCTGCACTCTGACAGAGGCGGAGAGTTCTCCTCTCGCCTTCTGCGAGACTACTGTCGTGCACGGGGGATCCGCCAGACCTTCACGCTTCCGGACTCACCACAGCAAAATGGGATTGCTGAGCGCCGCATTGGCATGGTCATGGATGTCGCTCGTACGTCCATGATGCATGCGGCTGCCCCCCATTTTCTGTGGCCGTTTGCGGTGAGGTACGCGGCGCATCAGCTCAACCTTCACACGCGGGTCTCTCGGCCGGCGATGTCCCCAGCCTTGCTGTGGACGGGGAAGGTTGGCGATGCGTCTGCGTTTCGCGTCTGGGGATCTCGGGCGTTTGTCCGCGACTTGTCTGCGGACAAGCTGTCCCCTCGTGCTGCTCCCTGTGTCTTCCTTGGCTTCCCCACTGACGCCCCAGGGTGGCAGTTTTACCACCCCTCCTCTCGTCGTGTTCTGTCCTCCCATGACGTCACGTTCGACGAGTCAGTCCCCTTCTACCGTCTCTTCCCCTACCGCACTCCTTCCCCCCCCCCTCCCCCGGACTTCCTTGTGCCAGTTCCCCCCCCGGTAGACCCCCTTCCCCCTCAGGTTCCTGCTCCCTCATGTGTGTCCCAGGTAGACGCCGTTGACCCGGTAGAGGTTACTGGTGACTCTGGTGCTGCTGCGGGTGCTGAGCCTGGGGGTGCTGACTCTGGGGGTACTGTGCGCGGGGGTGCTGAGCCTGGGGGTGCTACTACTGGGGGTGCTAGGCCTGGGGGTGCTACTGCGGAGGGTACGGAGCCTTTGGGTGCTGGGCAGCAGGGTGCTGTGCCTGGAGGTGCAGGGTCTGGGGGTGCTGGGTCAGGAGCTGCTGAGCCTGGGGGTGCTGCGTCTGGAGCTGCTGAGCCTGGGGTTTCTCCTGCTGCTGCGTCACGCCGGGAGCCCCTCTCTCCGCAGGAGCTGCGCGAGTGGTTCGCTCGCCGCTGGCGGCGTGCTGCTGAGTCTGGGGGTGCTGCTGGAGCTGGAGCTGGAGCTTCTTCGACCGTCGAGGGTGCGGGTGCTGCCGGTCCAGGAGCTGCTGGGCCTGCCGGTCCTCCTGGAGCTGGAGCTACTGAGCCTAGAGGTGCTGAGTCTGGAGCTGCTGAGCCTGGGGGTGCTACGTCTGGAGCTGCTGGGCCTGGGGGCGCTGAGTCTGGAGCTGCTGGGCCTGCAGGTCCTCCTGGAGCTGGGACTACTGAGGGTGTTGGTGCTGAGACTACTGCTGTCTGTCCTGGCGGTGGTTCTGCTGCTGGTGCTGCTGGAGGTCCTGCCGCTGGAGGTGTTGGTGGCGCTGGTGCTGTCGCTGAGGGTGCTGGTACTGTCCCTGCTGAGTCTGGAGCTGCCGCGCGGCCTCGGCCGTACTTTGTTCCGCTCCTACAGTAGGTTCTTGGTCTTTCTCCTTCGGTAGAGTGTCCGCAGCCTGTCCAGTCGCAGTCACTGTTGGAGCCTTCCTCTCCTCTGCCTGCTCCCTCTCCTTACACTGGTCCTACTGGAGGTCTTGCTGAGCGTCGTGAGCCTGCGTCTCGTCCCGCGTCGCCTGTTCGTGCTGCTCGCGCTAGTGGTCGCGGTTCGCGTCAGCGTCCTCCTCCTGTCCCTGGCACGCACCGGATGTCTCTGCGTCCGTCCACTGCTCCTCTGCGTGCCCCTTTGCCTTCTCCTCCTGAGTCCTCTCTTCCTGCGCTTGCCGACCCTGAGTCGGACTCTCTTCGCGCTGCCAGTCCTACTGTCACGCGTCTCCTTGCTACTGTCGTCACTGACCCCTCGTTTGAGTCCACTGCCGCGTCTGCTCTTGTCGCTGAGCTCGTCGACTTTGCTGCTCGCTGTCGTCTAGACTACGCTGCTAGTCTTGTTGCTGAGTCTGCGTCTGTCTGTCCTCCGTCCGTCGGGGGTGAGTGTGCTCTTGGCACGGACGTCTTAGAGGACAGGCAGGAGGAGTTACAGTGTCTAGCGGCCGCTTCACCTCATCTCGCGTCTGTACTGCTTGCGCCTGAGGGAGACCCGGATGCACTAGACATCCCGACTCCGCGTTCTTACGCGGAGGCCGTAGAGGGTCCCTACTCCTCTCAGTGGCAGGCAGCTATGGATGCAGAGATGGCTTCCTGGAAGTCCACAGGCACCTACGTTGACGCAGTTCCCCCTCCCGGGGCGAACATCGTCAGTGGCATGTGGATCTTCAGGGTGAAGCGGCCGCCGGGCTCTCCACCTGTCTTCAAGGCACGGTACGTTGCTCGTGGCTTCAGTCAGCGGCAGGGAGTTGACTACTTTCAGACCTTCTCTCCCACCCCGAAGATGACCACTCTTCGGGTGCTGCTGCACATAGCCGCTCAGCGCGACTACGAGCTTCACTCTCTCGACTTCAGCACTGCGTTCCTGCAGGGTAGCCTGCACGAGGAGATCTGGCTGCGCCGTCCGCCTGGCTTCACTGGGACTTTCCCTCCTGGCACCCAGTGGAGCCTCCGACGGCCAGTCTACGGTCTCCGCCAGGCACCGCGTGAGTGGCACGACACACTGAGGACTACGCTTGCGGCTCTTGGGTTTGCTCCTTCTACTGCTGACCCGTCGCTGTTTCTTCGCACCGACGCTTCACTGCCGCCGTTCTACATCCTCGTGTACGTCGACGACTTGGTCTTTGCCACAGCGGACACTGCTGGACTCGCCTACGTGAAGTCCGAGCTGCTGAAGAGACACACGTGCACAGACCTGGGTGAACTGCGCAGCTACCTTGGCTTGCAGATCACTCGGGACAGAGCACGCCGCACCATTACCTTGACTCAGTCACACATGGTGCAGCAGGTCCTTCAGCGCTTCGGCTTCACGTACTCCTCGCCTCAGGCCACTCCTCTGCCTACTCGCCACTCACTCTCAGCTCTGCCTTCGGATGAGTCCGTAGAGTCGAGTGGTCCGTATGCAGAGCTTGTTGGCTACCTCATGTACCTGATGACCTGCACACGACCTGACCTCGCATACCCTCTGAGCATCCTTGCACGCTATGTTGCTCTTGGGAGACACCGACCAGAGCACATGGCTGCAGCGAAGAGGGTATTGTGCTACCTGTGCAGTACGTCGGGCATGGGGCTAGTGCTTGGAGGGCGCAGTCCAGTGGTCCTTACAGGCCACGCGGACGCTTCTTGGGCTGACGACCAGGCTACGCAGCGGTCGTCACAGGGTTACACCTTCAGCCTTGGTTCCGGCTCTGTCTCGTGGCGGTCTACTCGCTCGTCTTCGGTTCTCGGCTCCAGTTGTGAGGCTGAGATCTACGCCGGGGCCATGGCTGCACAGGAGCTTCGCTGGCTCACCTACCTGCTGACTGACCTTGGAGAACCGCCTCGTTCTCCTCCAGTGCTGTACGTAGACAACAAGGCCATGCTGGCCTTGTGTCGAGAGCAGCGCTTGGAGCACAGAACGAAGCACATTGCTCTCCGCTACTTCCTTGCTCGTGAGCTGCAGCAGCGTGGTCAGTTGCGACTTGCGTACGTGGCCTCTGAGGCCAACACTGCTGATGTGTTCACCAAGGCACTTGCGCCTTGTGACCATCAGCGCTTTTGTACCCAGCTGGGTCTTGTGCCTGTCTTGCCTCACTTGCTCTCTTCTTGACCTTACTTGTACTGTGACATATATATACCTGCTCTTGCTTGTCTTGCTTTATATATATGTCTGTACTCTTGCATGTGAACTGGCCTTTGGCCTTGCTCTTGTGCTCGGACTGTGTGGTGACTTTGTGATCCACCCTGAGCTTTGTTTTGCTTTGCTTGACTGGTCTTGTGACCCCTTGTTCTCCCCCACTTTGCCTATGGGGGTGTGTCAGAACATATATGCAGCTCATACTGTTGTGTAGGCTGTAGTGGGGTATCCCATAGGGGGTACAACCCAGTTAGGGTTTCCTACTTGTACTGATTTCATTTCATAGTCAATCATTCCTGTTCATTCATTTCACACGCACTGCGCAGGCCGTTTGGTTGGGCCTTCAGGTTGGAAGCGCAACCCTTGGCGGTTTTGTGCGAGTGTTTCAGTTTCGTTTTTTTTTTTTTTTTTTTTTTTTTTTTTTCAAAGGCATCAACTCTTTTGGAACAACAAGCATACAGACATGCATAAACCCTTCCTAGAAATGTCTTACTACCTCAAACATCAGAAGACCATCGCCAAAACCCGAAACAAAGTATTGCTTAATAAGACATCTACAGCCGCATGTCGACCAAGTAGGGCACGTCCACCCATGGTGCTCCTTCTCCAAACTCTTGCTCCCCACCCCCTCGCTCCACCCACTCCGCCTCGGACTGACCCAACGTGTATGCCGCCCGCAAAAGAATCACCCGAGCCTGTGCCTTCTGCAAAGCTACCCCTACCGCGGCTGTCAAGGACCCCACCAAGTATTCCGAGAAACCCGAGCTGTTGCCCCTTCCCACACCTTTGTTAAGAGCCACCTTTACTTGAACCTCCCCCTGCTGTCGTAACCACTGTCGAAAGCTTCCCCCCAAGCAACCCCAAGTCTCAAGAATCAACGGGGAGAAACGAACCCCCCTATGCTGCCGCAGAAAAGGTTGATAATCCGTCGCCTTCCTCTTCTCTCGCTCCTTGGCAGCAAAACCTACTGTCCGCCCACACTGCCCATGCTGCTGCACCGGTAGCGAAACCGGATCCACGACGCTCACCTCGAGCGCATGTTTTTCCCCATCCATTGGTTTCCTAACCGCCACATCCACTCTCTTCCCCGGCAGAAGCGTGTCATCCTCGATCGTAACCACCCCACCCGATGCCTTGGCTATCTTAGCAACAACGAGCTTCACTGCATCATGAACACGAGACGGGGCATACTGGTACTTGCACCGAAGAGCATGGTGCGGATCTGACGGGTCCTTGAACTCCACACCGCAAACACACTTGCCAGCAACCAGAAGCTGGTGCGTTTCAGTTTCGTGGTGATCATTGCGACTAGTGACTTGCACCATAAATGTTTTGACGAACCGTGCGAATTTCTTGTAAGGACGCGGTGAAAGTGAAAGATCGATTGCCTCAGGTTCGTTTTTGAATACGGTTCTAGCAGGTTCTGTGTTTTTTGCATGAGATTGGATACGAAAAGCCGGAGTGCAGTGCGGTGGCGGATCGATATTTTCCCCGAACCGGCACTTTCACCGTCGAGCACAACCAGTTCCACGGCCTGATGCTTGGCACCGCCCTTAGCCGTGTGCCAGCCAAGCCAAGTGAAATCTACGATGCTGCCACCGCGGTGCCCCAGTCTCCTCTCGGCCCTTTCTCAACAACGTCAGATCTACAGATCAATCCATCACTCACTTCTGTACATTGAATCAGATTTACCAGGGGCTGAAGCCCTGATCCGCGTCGCCTGGTCCTTAGGGCGTGTCTCTTTTTATATTTTCTGCATTTTTCCGGACGGTTCTTTTTTTTGGTACTGGACGGTCCAAATAGCGAGAAGCGGACTGTTCGAAATGCCATTTCGGACCTTTGCCCCGTCCAGATGCAATTCTGTCACTTTTTCATGGACCATGAACTCACGAAGTACTGTAGCTTCGTAATGACACTGTATCGTCGTTACACAGGTCACGAAATTTTCTCCGCAAAATTCGTGCGCCAATCTGATTCCGT